AAGAGTGTTTTGTGCTTTGATTTATTAACCATAGTCAGTTATTTTTACATTTATTTTAAAAATTTTAAAGCATTTTTGGATCACTGCCAAATTGCCTTTAGGCCCTTGCTACATGCACAGATTCTAATTCTCATGGGCAGCTGCCAGGTCTCAGCGCCAAAAAAGTCCTTTTCATTCATCTTGCTGTGAACGCCATAAGCAATAAAGCCTCCATGATCTTCCATAGGTCAAGGGTTTTTAATAGCATTTGGTATTTATGGGGTACCTTTCATCTGAGGACAGCAATGCATGTTATGACATTATCTCACCATGTTCTTGCGTAGAAGGCAGAAGGCAGGTGTTATTAACCCCATTATACATATGGGAAAAATGAGGCAAAGGGCTCTCATTACCAACTTGCTAGATTGGGTCTATCACTCAGAATTAAAGGGGTAAGTGCTGAGCCTCGGGACCCTTGGAAAGGATTTTGGGATATTTAATCTGGCTTTGTAAAGTCCTGAAGAGTATTTTTTGTGAAGACACTTGTGAGTAGGCTTAATTATGGGCTCCATCTCTTCCCTCTTTCGGCTGAGTGATCTGGGGCCAAGAAAGGGTGGAGCCATGAGGAGAAAGGAGTAAATCACAAACAGCGATGGGAGATGGGGAGAAATGAGAAAGACCTAGTTAGTTTTGAGCAGAGTCTTATCTATTCACTAAATAGACCAGAAAGTATTTATAATGCCCCCCTCTCCCCCATTAGGTTTTCAGTTCTTTGCTTGATGGCCGAGAGAATTCAGGGAAGAATCAAATTGGTACCCAGTCCCCAGTAGTTTATAATGTACTTGAGTTCATAAGAAATACATACATTGAAAAATATGGAAACAATACTGCCCTGGGAAGTAGAAACAGGACAGTAAGTGAAATAAGATTGTAGTGAAAAGTAAGGTGAGCAAGGGTTTGAGCAGTCTTTTATTTTTCAACCAGTAGTCCTCTAGTGAGCACCCACCAAAGACCAGGCACTGTGTTAGAGCCTTCATGTATGATACCCATCCCTGATCTCATGGGCTTATAGGCTAGATTATCTGGGGAGAAGTAGCGGGTAGGGAGTATGTGACAGGAAAGCCTCCCAATGGAAGTAAACTATATTAGCTGAGACCTAAATAAGGAATGAACATTGTGCCTACAAGGTGGAGAGAGAATTTCTGGTCCGAGGGAGGGAACCATCCAGAGAGGGGAGGGCAGGGAAAGAAAGAAGCTTCAAGGAGAAAGAAGGACTTGGGCTCAATCTGACAATTCTTCCCTGAGGTCATCTAGCTTTCTTCTCCTAGGCCAGGACTCTTCCCTTCAATGACACTATTTTTGCCTAATTGAGTTTAAGAAAATTATCCCCCTCCATTTCCAAATCTCTTTCTCTTGTCTATACTAACTTTAACAGTGGCATCAAGCCATGTGTGTTACTAAAAAAAAAATAAAATAAATAATCTCCAAATCTTCTATAAATTTTAACTTTACAGTAAGAATCTGGGTGTGTGTTTTTTTAATATTCCTTATTAAGAATATTTTCCTATTTGTACAAGTTCATTGCCCAAAACTGCCTCTAGCAACACAAAGTTGTATCTTGAACCTGACAAAGAACATCAATGTCTGGTCAAGGACCCACAGGCAATGAACATGTGGGCTCCCGATGAAATCCCAGCCACACCAGCCAGTGGAGCTGTCAAATCACCTTGGGTGACTCAGAAGGAGCGGAAGTCCACACGGTATTGCGTTTTGCCAAGGAAGGGGTGCACTGCATTCTCAGCCCCGCGTGGGGCTCTGTAGGAGGCCAGAAGTCAGGGTGGGGACTCGGTTTCCCAGCTTACTGAGCAAGGAGGAACACTCCCTGACTTGCCGATGACAAAGACTCTGGGTCAGGTGGAGAAATCACTTGGATTAATGCACATCATCAGCTACAACCCACCTGCTCCACACGTCAAAAGAAATGGGTCCCTCGTCTTTCTGGCAAGAACAGTAGGTGGCACACAATAGAGCATAACTCTGTGGTGTCTGTGTGCTCGGACAGACCAAAAGCCTGTTTTCTTCCCGGCTCTTCGGTGTCCTCCCTCTGCTGCCCTGTCTGCCCATTCCTTTAGTGTAAAGAGCTAAACTCAGGAACACTCTCTGTTCATCACACAAGACAATGATGACAAGCAAACATGAGCAGATCCCCAGTCCATGCAGAGCCTTTGCTGAGGGCTGGAGCCCAGCCACCACCTCCCTCAGACCCAAGGATCTTGGAGAAGGAGGCTCAGCTCCTCAGGTTCGCCTCTTCACTCCACCAGAAAGCCCATCACAATTCTCCCGATGTCCCCAAACAGAGCCATTACATGCACGTGTCTCTCTGCTCTCCAAGAAACACATGATTGATATTATTACTGTGAATAATTAAGTTATTATAAGTAAATATTTTATTAGTTTGAACTAACGTTATCAAAGTCAATATAAATACTTATAATTATTACTAATAGTGGTCAATTTAACTATCTATAATAATAAAAGCATAATATGCTAATTAGACCAGATAGCTGAACGACCTTCCAGATGTCATTCCAGACATCCTTCAGGACGAAGCCACAGCCTCAGGGGCTCTGGCAGAGGTGGTTAGGGGTGATCAGGCAGGCAGAGGCATTAGGGGCAATCAGACAGGCAGGTGAGTGGTTAGGGGTGATCAGGCAGGCAGGCAAAGGGGTTAGGGGTGATGAGGCAGGCAGGCAGAGTGGTTAGGGACAATCAGGCAGGCAGGCAAGCAGACCAGCCAACGGTTAGGAGCCAGCAGTCCTGAATTGTGAGAGGGATGTCCAACTGCGGGCCTAAACCAGCAGTCGGACATCCCCAAGGGGTCCCAGATTGTGAGAGGGTGCAGACCCAGCTGAGAGACTCCCCAACCCCCATGCATGAATTTTGTGTGCCGGGCCTCTAGTTTGTTGACTTGTCCATGAACCCTCAGGAATTAGGCATCTTGTTTCCCACGCATATTTTCTTAATTAATAAAATTAATAAAAACTGAATAAGAGAATCTATGCCCTGCTGCTTTTTTCATGCAATTCTTCCCTCACCAGGGTTTCATGTTCTCACAAGGTCTAGGCTCCCTCTAATGGCCATATTTTGTTACAGAGGAGCTCCTCGAGTTCACCCAGAAGTCTGGTCTGATCTCACCCTTTCAGGGACGCGATGGGTACGACATGGCCTACCAGACTCTGTGGTGCCTTCTGATATTCTAAAGCCCAGACAGGGTAACGTTCAGTACAAATTTCTCTCATCTGATCTTCGGAAAAGGACTCAAAATACATGTTTAAAACATACGTGAAAGCTGTTCAGTACCTTCAGTAGAGAGGCTGAGGTGATTAGCCTTCCATGCTGAATCAGAAGAGCAAAAAAATTACAAATGGACATTAGACATTAGATAGAGTTCATGGGACCTCAGAGGTGGGAGAGAACCCAACATTCACCTAGGTCAGCTGCCCACCTGATCCTAGTTCCCTCTGCCACACCCACCAGGGAGCTGTGCCAGCCTCAGCCTGCCTCAGGCACGCATCCAAGTCAGCATGAAAGCAAACAAGCTCAGGCGGCAAAACTGCACAGGAAGCTCCCATCAGCCCTGCTTATTATTTTTTTAAAATTTTAATTTATTGATTGATTTTTAGAGAGAGACAGAAAGTGGGGGCGGGAGAGACAGAGAGAGACATTGATATGTTGTTCCACTTATTTATGACTTCATTGATTGCTTCTTGTATGTGCCTGGACTGGGGATCGAACCCACAACCTTGGCATTCTGGGGACGAGGCTCTAACCAACTGAATTACCCAGCCAGGGCCCACCATCCCTTTTTATTAAAAAAAAATCATTAAAAATTAAAGCAAAAAAAAAGGCAAAACAAAACCCATACATTATATGTAATTTCAATGTCCTATTTAATTATTATCCAGTTATTAAAGGTAAATGAATTACACAGGTGTAGTTTGTGCTTACAAATCCCAAACAACAACTAATAAATGCAAAATCACTGTTTCTGAAATTATTTTAACATTTGCCGCTCCAGTGTCATTTCTAAAGGTGGTCAAACAGGACTGCTGTTTAATCATGAAGGATCGTACCTGTGTTTGTCTCTGCCCCTCCTGGAAATGCCCTCCAAAAACACAGTAAAATAATTGAAAAGACCAAAAGAATAGGAGATGAGAAGCCCTTCAATCTGGGAAGGTTCAGGGACAGGAGTTTTCTGGTTTGGAACTTGGGAATGAAGGATAGAGCTGAAAAGGTCTTGTGGTGTGAGCATAGGATTTCTATGTACCCAGCCAGCAGACAAGGGATGGAGAATCACACACGAGAAATTATTATGGGCAGCATGTCCAGGGACTTCCTGCAGGGGGCAGGTTGTGTGTGGGACAGCCCAAGATCAGAAAGCCAGCTCAACCATGAGCCTGTTCCCCCATCTGAATACTGAGGGGGGAAAACATCTGTCCGGACAGCCCTCGGGGTTGCGGAAAGGACAGCCTAGACACCGCATAGGGAAAGCACTTTGCTAAGATGTGGGTTATAATTTACAACATGGTTAGACCTCAGGAGCCTGGTATCTGATCACGGAATCACTTGATTCCACTTTCTCAGAGGCTTAGTAACACACTGCTGGTCACTGTGGAGGAAAAATAACACTTGGCAGATTCCTAAAGGGAAATGTGTTCTCATGGGCAGGAAGGGGTGACAGCCAGACCAGAGACAAAGAGGCCATTCTCCGGCCGCCACCGCTGGCCACTGACTGCGAAAGTCGAGATAGACGTCCCTGGGGGATCAGATAACCAGATTCCTGGCACAGTGCCCCAGTTACACTTCATCCATCTCTCGCCACATCAATATCACAGCCGTGAGGGCCAGAGGAAGGGGTGAGAAGCAAGGGGAGGCCTCGTGGACCGTCTGTTTCCCCTCCTTGGCTGGCTCAGACACCAAGCCCAGCCAGAAAACCAAACACAGCCAGGAGGCCCCGTTGGCCATCAAGGTGGCGTGTGATTGGTCAACAGCCCCGGGTCCTTGAGCAGGGCCTCTGCAGGATGACAAGGTGATGCTCCAACCCTCCAGTCAATAACCTGGCCTTTCCCACAGGTGTTCACGCAGGGCTGATGTCCGTCCTGCCCACCATCACCCAGAGCAATCACAGCCCTACACCCTCCTCCATCTCAGCTCGGTGGAAACACATCCGCCAGGGAAACTGTTCAGAGGTTATCAGGCATGACCCAGCGCAGGGAGCCTTCGGGACTGGGTGGCTGGGCTCCTCCCCTGGGGCCGCCTGGCAGGGGAGGCAGTGCCAGCTCTTACTGAGGGAATATGAGCCACTTTGCCCAGCCTGGGGGTAGCAGGAGAGAGGTGGGGACAGACAGGACGAGTGGAGCCTCAGTGTCTCAGAACCCAGCCTGCCATAGTGCTGAGTGGCCTCAGAGGGGCCTAGAAAGCTTTTGGGCCTCGGCCTCAGAGACAAAGGTCTTGCTCATTCAGAAAGAAGGCTTCAGGGAAGAGTTGACGCTGTGGTTGGATGTCTAAACGGTCCTGTGAGGTGGGAGCCTGGGACTTGTTGCTCTCCGACACCTTCTAAGTGTTCACCTGTGTCTCCTGAAAGGTGGAAGGATCCAGTGCCCACCCAGGAACTTCCAGAAGCTGAGCTAGAAGATTCTCTGGAACTGCAACACGGCCGGCAGGGCCCCTTCACTCCTGCTGGCCTGGTGGGGCCAGGGTGGCTTGGCCAGAAGCAGCTTCCCAGCGAGCCTGCGCCCCGAACCCCCACAGACCAGGTACTGGGTTGGCGGGTATGTCTGTGTGTTTCTGCTCAGGGATGGGCAGGATTGGTGTTGAAAGCAAGTACCACAGCTTGGCACTACCCAGCCGGCCTAAAAGCCTCAGTGCGGCGACCAGGCTGTCCAAACCCAAACTTGGGGTACAATGGTCCGACAAGTATGACTATGACTATTTGGGAAGCATGAGGCAGGTGATTTGAAATGAAGTCTGTGTTGAAGGAACCCAAGGGCTTGTGCTTGTCCCACCTTTTGAGGCCAAAAGCTATGGGAACTGGATAGACTCAGATCTGCCCCGTGACAAGCTGTGTGGCCTCAGACAAGTTTCTCAGCTTCTCTGAGCTTCAGACTGTGTCCAGCAGCAAATGCGTGAAATGGGTGTTATAATGATGTCTCTGTAATGGGATTGTTGAAGAGTCAAATGAAGTCAAGTCTGCGAACATGCTTGTGACTATTTTTGTGATTTTATTCCAACTGCCCAGCTCTATAACCTTGAACAAATTATTTTAACTCCCTGGGGCTATGCTTGCCAGGAAATGAAGGGATTGGATTTCTGAGAGTTCTTAGTATCTCTAACCGTCTCCGCCATGGCCCAAGGGAATGATCGGCCTCTTATAGTTTAATTAAGTGCTATCCTTGAGTGCCACATGGTCCCCCTTTCCAAACATGGCCCCGTCTCCACCCACCCTCCCTTCCTCTTAAGAAGATCTGCAGCTTTCCCGGAGGGTGAGCACAACTGTATTCACTGCAGCAAGAGCTGTGACAGCCATCATGCGCTAAGGAGAAACAGGAGGCTGTTGGGTGCACCCTTTTACAGGATGTAAGAAGGCTCAACGGCCCTGGCTTCTCAGCGCTCCCAGTGCCTACTCATCCGCCCTAACTGGGAATAACTAGAGGTGGATATGGGCGGGACAACATTTGAGTATCAGGTCTGACATTTGCTTCTGGGAGACCCTGGATTCTATAATACTGTTTCCTCGTGGAGCTGTGAGCTATTACCTCACGGGGATTAAATGAAATAATGTCTATACTGTGCCTCGAGCAAACAGCAAGTAGTTGCGTGTTGTTGTTGCACCTCATCCAGTATTATGCCCCGCTAAGTGTTATATTTTCCTGATCACAGCTGTTAGTGTTCATAATGGGGAATGAGGTCGACAGTTTCAATCTCCTCCATCCCAGCAAAGGAGCCAGGGGCAGCACCCCATTCAGGCGTCAGCTTTCTGCAGCCTGAACGTAGATAACAGTTAGAAATAAGACCCCGAGCATTATCTTCCTGCGTAAGCCATTGTTCAATAATAACTATTTGAACCTTCTCAGGAGCAGAGAGCTAATGCCAGACATTTCTCAGCTGCGGCCCCTGGCCATGCAAATCACTGCAGGTCTCCCCTGTGGGACTGGCCAGTCCGGGCACCAGGCCTCCATGTCTGGGGAGCTGGGTAGTGAATGAGCTGCTACTCAAGAGCCTTGTCAACAATCTCAGCTGGAATCTGAGTCGAGAATGCCACAAAGAGGTGTGAGGAGAGCGCCCCCTAACACGAAACTGGAACACCTCCCAGGTCGCAGTCACATTCCACAGGCTTCTCCCGCAGCCCTCACCCAGCGAATGAATTCCTGACTTTAATCTCCTGTATGCTTAGTAGCAGTGAGTGTAGCGAAAATAAAATGTAGAACTTTTCCCTCTCTCTATGTGCCTCCATCCTGGCTTCTTTGTAACCTCCAGGCTCAATAAATTTGACTGACAAAGAACGTGAGAAAAGACGTTTTCTACATAAATAAAATGAGATGATTCCAAGTACCCTGGTGTTTTACTCTCCAGCTACCATGCATTGAGAGCCTTTTATGAGAATATTTGAATATGTTATCTTATTTTCATCCTGTCACCAATCCCACAAGGGGAGGACTAATGTCAAACCCATTTGACAGATGAGGAAATTGAGGCGAGAGAGGTTAAATACCTTGCCCAAGGTCACACAGCTGCTGTGTCTTGGAGCCAGGGTTCAGACTCAGGATCTAGTTCATAATCACTATGGGAATTACTCCTGGAGCCGATGAAAGAACCAGAACAGGATACCAGTAATTTCCTAAATATGACCTCAGTCCCCCCAGTCCTTTAAGGAAACCTATGGGATATCTAGTATGAGCCAGCAGTCTTCACATTGACTTTACTTCCTTTGGTCCATACACCACCATCTAGGACAGTGGTTCTCAACCTGTGGGTCGAGACCCCTTTGGCGGTCGAATGACCCTTTCACAGGGGTCGCCTAAGACCATCCTGCATATCAGATATTTACATATTTACATTATGATTCATAACAGTAGTAACGTTACAGTTATGAAGTAGCAACGAAAATAATTTTATGGTTGGGTCACAACATGAGGAATTGTATTTAAAGGGCCAGAAGGTTGAGAACCACTGATCGAGGAGGTCGATATTTTTCTCTACTTTGCAGAGGAAACTGAGACTCAGAGAGATGACGTGCCTTCCCAGGTCACACCGCCTACCAGTGGAGAGGGTGGGGAGGTAGGCGTGGCACCTGCTCTTGGGGCTCTGCGGTGCTGCACTCTCTCTGGGTGCAGTGGCTGGAGCGGCAGGCTCCTGGTTGCTTTCTCTCTCTCTTCCAGGGAGGAGCCACCATGTGCTCTGAGACGGGCTCCAGGTACACCGGCATGCTACTGTTGCCCTTGGCCATCGCTGCCATCATTGCCAACCTCCTGCTGTACTTTCCCAATGGGCAGGTGCTGGAGCCTGCCAAGATCACAGACCTGGTCTGGTTTTTCCACGGCTTTCTTGGAGCTGGTCTCTTGGTAAGAATGAGGTTTAGCCCTAGCCAGTTTGCTCAGTGGATAGAGTGCCGGTCTGGGTTTGATTCTGGTCAAGGGCACATACCTCAGTGGCAGGCTCAATCCCTAGCCCTGGTCGGGACACATGTGGGAGGCAACCAATCGATATGTCTCTCTCACATCGATGTTTCTCTCTCTCTGTCTCTCCCCCTCGCTTCCACTCTTTCTAAAAATCAATGGGAAAATATCCCCAGGTGAGGATTAACAACAACAAAAAGAATGAGGCTTGGCTAGCTTACCTCTTCCAGGTGAAGGGTTCCTCTTAACACCCGGCAAGTCACAGAGCAATTGTCTCATCTTCAAGCTGACTTCCCTAGGCCCCGGGGCATGGCTGGCTGTTCCTCCTCTGTACCCACAACACATGACACATAAACAGTTTCCACATTGTGCCCAACATCATGCTGCAAGCATCTTTTTTTTTTTATTGATTTTTTACAGAGAGGAAGGGAGAGGGATAGAGAGTTAGAAACATCGATGAGAGAGAAACATCGATCAGCTGCCTCCTGCACACCCCCCACTGGGGATGTGCCCACAAGCAAGGTACATGCCCTTGACTGGAATCGAACCTGGGACCCTTCAGTCCGCAGACCGATGCTCTATCCACTGAGCTAAACTGGTTGGGCTGCAAGCATCTTTTTATGTCCCTGCTTCCCCCATTGGGCTGTGAGCTTCTCCAGAACAGAGTCCAAATCTTGTTAACCTTTGCCCACTAAGAGCCTACCTAGCAAAGTGCCGGCTGAGACTAGAGCTTAATATGTGGTGCTCCTTGCGTGAAAGATACACTTTATAAAAAGCACAGTAACTGAGTACCTGTCAAGTTCATCTGGTTTCAAGATGACCACCTTGAAATATAAATTATGTCACTCCCATCCAGGCTTCCCTAGGCAAAATTACGTGATTAGCAAACCTTTTTCGTGAAAGGCCAGATGGTAAAACTTTCCAGCTTTGCAAGCAATGTGGTCTCTTGTTTCAGCCCTCAGCTCTGTCATCACAGGGCAAACGCAGCCATAGGCAATATGTAAGCAAATGGGTGTGGCTATATTACAATAAAACTTTATTTATTAAGCAGGCAACATGCTGGATTAGCCTACAGGTTGTAGTTTGTTACCCCGTGAAGTAGACATTGTGTGTTTTCCTACCTTCCCGCCTTTGTTTTCATTTGGCTCCTCCTCTCCCAATAGTCCCTTTTGAAAAGATCATTTGATTATGGGAGACCCAAGTGCCAGACACTGAGTAAGTGTTCAATAAATGGATGAATGCATGGGGCATAAGGAAGCCTCAGAAAAAGTTGACCGTCTCCCTTCCTGCTTCTCTCCCCCTCCCCCCACAGTATTAGATTCAGTGAGGTCTCAAGTTGCATCCATTGACCACCCACCC